TCAGGGCAGCTATTGTGGCCATACATTTTCAGGTTATTGGTTGCTAACTCTGTTCCCATGGCATGAGAATACTGTAGGTTTAGAAGTCAATGAACTTTTTCTTCTTTAAAAGACACAGCTACTGTGTGAATGATCTCCCAGGGACTCCCTTGAGGACACAGACTACTGGGACTGGAAGGCTGGGTCCCAGGTGCAACAGAGACACAGTGTCGCAGCACAGTCCCCCAGGGAAAGACTGGTGGGATTTCTACTTAGTGTAGGGTTATGAACACAACACAAGAAGTATGAAAAAGACCTGTCTCCTATGAGAACAGCACTTTACAACCAACAGATTCGAGGAGCTGAAAGCTCGTGGGCAGGTAGATGATGTGATTCTAACAAAGGCTATATGCAAACCCATGTATCCTTCCAGTCCCCACAGCAAGCATGGTTGTTCCTGGCCACCAGTGCAAAACCATGTCACATAGCCTTTTTCTGGGTGCCAGAACTGAGTCAACTGGTGTTTGTTGAACTCTGAGGCCAGTAGACAAGCCAACCTGGACAGAGTGCATGGCAGAACCTGAAACACCGGAGGACAAGGCGGCAGGCTTACCTTGAGTGTAACATAATTTTGCTTGGTTACCGAGAAACTGTCTGAGAATATGTCACCCCGTGTGGCAAAAGGAACTTGCAGTATGACAAGGTTACAGGCCCCGAGAAGGGATGCTGATCTGGTTACTCAGGTGGGCCTGACAAGATTCTAGGGTTTGTGCAGACAGAAGGCTGGGCCAATAAGAGAAGCTATGTGAAAGCAGTGGTCACAGTGATGCACCTCGGCAATGAAGGAACAAGAAGGCATGGCCTGAAGCTAGAAGGCAAGGGGCAGATCCAGCCGGCTCGGGAAGGGGTCAACTCTGCTCCACATTGGCTGCATGAATTATGAATTTCTACTCATCAGAGCTGTGCCCCACAGTAAGGCAGGCAGTTTGTGGCTTAGGGAACAAGTATACCGATTCCTGATGGAGCTCCCAGCCAGTGTAATCTGTGGTGCCCAGTTAATCTTATTTAACTCCCTCTCCCTACTAACCAGGCTTGGTATTATTAGCCTTATTGTTAACACGTTAGACTTGTGGACTCTGAGCCCTTACTAAGGTCTCATCAGCAGCTCCATCCACTTACAGTGAGTTCTGCCTGCTGACCCCTCAGACCTCTGCTCCTAGGTAGGATGGAGCAGGAGGGTAAGAGACCAAGGGCCAGCCATGGCCTCACAAACTTCTTAGGGCATACCCAGCAAACCAGACCTGCTCCTTAATGGGAGAGGGCAGCAGAGCTAAGCTTTAGGGGAGGTCTGGCAACCATGCATATTGTTGACCCAAGGATAACTCATCAAGGTACAGGTGGGGTTGCCATGACAACTGCCTTGGTGGAAACTCCTGTGCTGGGTTCTGGAGGCTATGGAGTCTGAATGTGGGTCCCAACTCTAACTCACACGAGGGTAACCTCACGGCCCTCAGATGCTCCCAGGAGGGCAAGTCTGTTACTCAGCATCACGGGCCTTTCCTGCTATATGTTTGGGCCCTGGACAAGTCTCTGACCTCATGTCCTGTGTCTGTCTGCAGCCCTCCAGCAGCACCCACCAGGACAAAGGGCCAGCCACGTAGGTAAATTCCTTGTGTTGTACATAGCCACCATGCCACCCAGCCTTATCTTATCTTCTCATACTGACATTGTGATCCCAGCAGATATCAGCTCCCCAAACCGTCCGCAGCCCCCAGAACCCACCACGATAGTCTCCATCTTCATGATAGTACCACACACGGAATGCAGGGTAATAGCTATTTGTTTTTGCAGCATCCCTCCCTCCCTCTTTCCCCCCTACTCCCCCCTTCCCTTCCTTCTTCCTCTTTCCTGGGCAGTGCTATGGACTTAACCTAGCACCCTGAATACGCTAGGCAAGTGTGCTACCACTGAGCTACACTCTCACCCTGGGTTTTCATGACGTTCTTCTTTCACCGCGTGTAACATCCTCATGTGCTATCCACTTGGTGATGGGTGACAGAATTTCTGTTGTTCTTAAGAAGGTGGGGGAGTTCTGGAGATGGGTGTGTAAAAGCCCCACACCTGTGAATGTGTGCAGCATCATGGCTGCAGGCTAGCATGTGGCAAGATGCTAGCACATGGCAAGTTTTATGTATGTTTTTCTAAAAATGAAGCAGCTGATGGGATACAAGGTCTTTTCCTCCTGAGAGATGGTCATGACATTGCCAATTATGTGGCCCCTAATGCATGCAGAGGACAGACATTCCCTAAGTGCTCCACGCTGAGTCCCACCTCTGGTCATTGCACACTAGAGATCCCAGAGGCCCCTTCTGTGCGGCTTCCGGATCAAGGTCTCCTAAGGTGTGTGACAGGACATGGTGAAGGGGGGTTAGGGCTTCTCACTGCCCACACCACACAAGCCTGAGAAAGCACTGTGGACCTAGAACCCCTTCACAGGTAGGCCTGACACAGTGTGTCAAAGCTGCTTTTCACAGGAACTAATGTTTCAATAGCCACCATGGAAAGTGCTGGCTGGCAAGAGAGTGAAATTCACACTCATGTTGTCCCAGTATGCTGAGCTTAGGGCCAGAGCCACAGGTTAGAGAAGTTATTCTAACCACACTGAAGCCATGGTTTTACTACGAGGGTGATCAGCAGCTATTAGGTTATGTTGAGCAGAGAGCAATTTTCCAGATGAGATATTGACGTTTCATGGCTTCCCCACATCCCAGGCAGTAGAGAGAAGAGATTTACCAAGCTGGCTCCAGTTGGACCACTGGAAGCTCTGTGGGTCCATTTTGTCCCTAACATGCCCGAGAGCAGACGTCCTTCAGACATATTCAGTAGAAGCATCTTTGTGCAGCTCTCTGCTGCCAAGAGCTTTCCAAAGAGACTGTGTGAGTCCACACTGTGAATAGACCTTGGCAGGATGCCTCTCTCCCAATAGGGGTCACCACTTTTTAATTGTAACTTGTTGTAGAATATTATTTTGACTATGTAAAGATGTGTTACATTTGTTTGCACTGCAGAATACTGCTTTAACTGTGTAAATGTGTGTTACTTTCTTAATGTTGTATTTGTTTAATGATGTAAGGATGCGTGCTTAAATATGTAAAGAAGTGTTGCATCTGTTTCACCTTGCCTGCCTAAGGCACCTGATTGGTCTGATAAAAAGCCAAATGACCCATAGCTAGGCAGAGAAATGATAGGCAGGGCTGGCAGGCAGAGAGAATAAATAGGAGGAGAAATCTAGGCTCAAAAAGAGAAGGAAGAGAAGGAGAGGAAGAAGGAGGAGGAGGAATGAGGGACACGCCCGGGACAAGAAGCCAGGCAGCCATCAGCCAGCTAGACATGAGAAACAGTGAGAGTAAGATACACAGAGGAAAGAAAAGTAAAAAAACCCCGAGGCAAAGGGTAGATAAAGATAAACAGGTTAATTTAAGTTAAAAGAGCTAGACAGAAATGTGCCTGAGCTAGGCTGAGCATTCAAAACTAATAATAAGTCTCTGTGTCATGATTTGGGAGCTGGTTGGTGGCCCCGACAGAAAAAGCCTGGTACAGAAAGTGAATTATGAAGCTGGTGCTTAGACGTGTACACTGTTGGGGGAACAGGGAGGTGAGTAATATATGGAGCTACTACTATGTAAAAATCCAACACTCTGAGTGCCTCTTCCCGCACCCCACCTCCACTGTGGAAGCTAGGCAAATGCTTTACTCCTGAGCCAAACTTCACGCCTCAAGGATCATCTTAGAAGCAGAACCAGAAACTCATGACCATTTAACATGACCTGAGGTGCTTCCAGCTTGGGACACCCAATAATGAAGCAAGCCAAATGAATTTCCTTACGTTTACGTTTAAGTTTAATATGCAGTCAGGGCTGCCTTGCTCTTGGCCAGTTTGGTTTCTCAGAATGAGTTATCCCATTAGGTGAGCACTGGGCGTGGCCAGGGACACTACAGGACGCCCAGGAGCGGCCTGAGAGCTCTGTCCAAGGAAGGGGTGTCAGTGTGCAGAAGCTGGGAGTGTCTGCTGAGGGAACAGAGGGAGCCTAGGGAAGGGGCTGGGAGGACTTGGAGAGCACTCAGCTAGATTCAAATGCAGAACGTTCTCTTCTGCAGGAATCCCAACATCTCCAAATAGACCCCAGTCTGCTACATAATGTCTTTTCCCTTTGTTTCCAGAACTTTCCATGATGACCAATGTGCACTAATGCTATTAAGTTGGTTTGTTTTGTTTTATCTCTTTTAGCCTGTTATGAGAACTGGATAACCAGAGGTAACAGATCTGTCCACATTTTGTGTACTGGTATTCTAGGATTGGTGGACAAGACAGCGAGAAAAGGAAAAGAAACAGATCGTTCAACAAGATCAGAGTTCTCATTTCTCCATAAAGGCCCTCTAACCCTGGGATGTCCAAGTTTGTAGCTCTCTAGACCAGTGGTTCTCAACGTGTGGGGCACGAACAACCCTTTCACAGGGGTCGAATATCAGATTCATAATAGTAGCAAAATTACAGTTATGAAATAGGAATGAAAAATATGGTATCACCACGACATGAGGGTGATCAGCACGACAAAGGGTCGTCAGCATCAGGAAGGTTGAGAACCGCTGTTCTAGACCCTTAAGATACTGGGTGTTTTTTAGCTGTACCTTGTCCAGACTTTGTAGGGACCCCTTACTGAACTGCTGGAGACACAGAGAAGCCTTCTGTCCTGAAACTGAATGTAGTTTGGAGTCCCATATATCAGCTCACTGTACCCTCACTCCTGACCACTCACCTGGCCTGGGGGGAAAAGGGCTATGGAGCCTGTAGCTCTAGCCAGGGCAGGGGGCATAGTGGACAACCAGGACTAGTAATCAGCAGGCACTCTCTGAATTTCTATATCCCACCTGGGTGCCAGATGTGGCCTTTTGTCCACACCTCCATGACCCTGGCTCCCCCTCTGTCCTGCCCTTGCCCTGAAGCCCATGCCCACACTTACCCGTTCCTCTTCTGCTCGTATGTCAGGCATGGTGCTTAGGCACAGGCCGACGGCTGTGACGGCCACGAAGGCCACGGAGACATAGGCGAAGAGCTTGCCTGCCAGCCCGGAGTGCGGGTTCTCCACCATATCGCGCAGGCACCGTCGGCCGCGCTCCAGCCGCCCGGTGCCCAGGGCTCGCACTGGGCTCCCCTGGGGCCCGCGACCCGGTGGCCCGGCGCACGCCTCGGCAGCCTCTTCCTCGCGACGGCGCAGGCGACGCAGGCAGCAGCGCTCCAGCCGCGCCTCGTCGATGCCCCAGTAGGCCAGCTCGTCGCGGAAGGCCAGGGCGCACGGGCCCCGCAGCAGCCTCAGCTTGCCGGCGCGCAGCAGCGCCACGATGGCGCGGAAAGCGCACGGGCTGCGGTCGAAGAAGAACTCGTCGCGGCTCACGTCGTAGTCGTCACACACGCGCAGCAGCTCGTCGTGGCCGCGGCAGGCTCGCAGGCGTTCGAGGCGTGCCAGGGGACAGCGGGCCAGCGCGGCCCAGGCCAGCCGCACCCGGCAACCCCCGACGTTGATAATGACGTGCCGCGCCCGGGCCGCTCGACCGCCTCGGCTCCCCCGGCCTGTACTGCCATGCTCCGGGCCGGGGGCCTCCGGGTGCCCCGGGAGCCGGGCCATGGCCCCATATGCCGGGTGGCTGCGATCAGAAGACTGGGCCTGCAAGAGGAATCCGAGTGTTAGGACTGCGGGCGGCAGGATCCAGGGTTTGGGGGACCAGGAGCTTCCTATCCCAGGTCCATCTCTAACTCTGGCACAGTTGCAGGCTCCACCTTCCAGACTTGAGATTCCCCCAAACTTTCCAGAGGACGCTGTAAAATGGACATGTTACCTTACTTCATCTTCTAGAGAGCAGGAACATATAAAAATTTCTCAGGCAAGGAGGGGTCGTGGGTGGAAATGGTTTACGAAACCCTAGACTCTAAACAGAGTTTGTGGAATGTATCTGGTAGCATAAGCTTTTTACAAACCCATGTCTGGTCTGCCCTGAGCTGGTCAGTATTAAAAAGCAAGCATCTACCCCACCCTTCAACAAAGAAGGAAAATGGGGGGGGGCTTGCTATAAATTAGAAACAGACTTATGAAATTCCAGCAAACGCGCCGCGGGTACACTGCTCTGGACCGGATTTAAAGGAACCAATTATAAAAAAGACGTTGAAAGCCAAATGAGAAACACTGAGCACAACGTAGGAAGGAAACGAAAATGTAAAGATATGATAATTGGATATGAAAAACCAGGGCAGTTTTTCTTAGAGGTCCTGCCTGCACATTCACAGACGAGGAGGGGTCTAGGATACCGGTGGTCCCAGAGGAAACTGACCACGTCTCAAAGTGGTTTGCATCGCACCGGGCCTCGCTACGCTTTATGCATCTTTGACACCTCCGTGTGCTCTGCTCCGTAGCCCGCTCAGCTTGGAACACAGCTTCCAGGTAATTTTGCTGCACAGCTGGGGTGGAGAACCACAGATCAATCAAGAGAGATGGAAACCCACAGCGCTTGATTTTGCAGCCAGCCTTGGTTTCTAAGTCAGAGGAACTGTTTGGTATCCACAGAAATTCCTCAGATGGTCAGTGAGCCTTCTAGGTTTCTATGCCAACTGTTTGGCATACACATTTTCCCCCCCTGCACTGGGCTCACTTTTCCTAGAGGATTCTATATAAAAGGGGGTGGAGGTGGGTACCATTACTAACATCCAAGACTTGGGCTGCATGGAGGATTCTACTCTTTTTCCCAGAGGTCTCCCCAGCCCCTCCAATTTTCTGTTTTCAGGGCTTCTTTGCTTCCTGGAATGGAGAGGCCAGAGGTTCAGCAGAGGCACTTAGGGCCATGGTAACAGCAGCAGGTGGATGGATGATAGGCAAGCAAGTCCCAGCTGGTTTGGGATGGAGCAACCTGCCATTGTGGACACCTCAGATGTCTGTTGGGAGACACCCCCCAATGTTCTCATAATGACAGACAGGGAGACAGACAAATGGTAACTGTCAGCACACATGCTAGGAAAGAATTTTCTTAGCCCAACATAGCATCCTATGTGACAAATACATCACACAATGGAGCACTCCAAAATCCATCCTTGGGGTGATGAGAAACAGGTAAAAACTTGCCCATCCAACTTTTGTGGAACTTTGGGACCAACCAAAAACTGTTAGTGACCATGAGGATCTTAAGGGAAAGCGACTGAATCTTAATAACAATGACCCTTTGCAGCAACTGGACTTACCCTGTGTCTACCCTACTTCATTTCGGGGAACTCACCCCACATCCATCCCTGAGCTCCAGGAATGCACCCCACGTCTACCCTCTGATCTCAGCCTGGGGGACTCACCCCACATCTACCCTCTGATCTCAGCCTGGGGGACTCACCCCACATCTACCCTCTGATCTCAGC